AGAAGGAGAAGGATGAGAAGAAAGAAGAGAAGGATGAGAAGAAGGAGAAGTATGAGAAGAAGGATGAGAAGAAGGATTAGAATGAGAAGAAGGATGAGAAGAAGGATGAGAAAAGAAGGGATGAGAAGCACTTTTTGCCGGCTTGGAATTAATCGTATTTTCATCCTACTTCTTCTTCTTAAGGTTTTTTCTAGGCTTTCAGAGAGCCTTTAAATTAGTGCAGAACACTGTACCTTTAATTTAAATGCCCTTGGAGATGAGGAAGGAGAAGGAGAAGGAGAAGGATGAGAAGAAGGAGAAGGATGAGAAGAAGGAGAAGGAGAAGGATTGAGAAGAAGGAGAAGGAGAGGAAGGATGAGAAGAAGGAGAAGGAGAAGGATGAGAAGAAGGAGAAGGAGAAGGATGAAGAAGAAGGAGAAGGATGAGAAGAAGAGAATGATGAGAAGAAGGAGAAGGATGAGAAGAAGAAGAAAAGAAGATGAGAAGAAGGAAAAGAACTGAATGAAGAAGAAGGAGAAAGGATGAGAAGAAGGAGAAGATGAGAAAGTAGGAGAAGGATGAGAAGAAGGAGAAGGATGAGAAGAAGAGAAGGAGAAGGATGAGAAGAAGGAGAAGGAGAAGGATGAGAAGAAGGAGAAGGAGAAGGATGAGAAGAAAAGAAGGATGAGAAGAAGGAGAAGGTTGAAGAGAAGGAGAAGGATGAGAAGAAGGATGAAGGAGAAGGATGATGAAGAAGGAGAAGGAGTAAGATTGGAGAAAAGGAGAAGAAGAAAAGGATGAGAAGAAGATGAGAAGGAGAAGGAAAGAAGAAGGAGAAGGAGAAGGATGAGAAGATGAGAAGAGTAGGATGAAGAAGAAGGAGAAGGATGAGAAAGAAGAGAAGGAGAAGGATTGAGAAGAAGGAGAAGGAGAAGGGAATGAGAAGAAGGAGAAGGATGAGAAGAAGGAGAAGGATGAGAAGAAGGAGAAGGATGAAGAAGAAGGAGAAGATGAGAAGAAGGAGAAGGATGAGAAGAAGGAGAATGGATGAGGAAGAGGAGAAGGATGAGAAGAAGGAGAAGGAGAAGGAAGCAGAAGGAGAAGGATGAGAAGAAGGATGAGAAGAGAAGGAGAAAGATGGAGAAGGAGAAGGATGAGAAGAAGGAGAAGGAAGGATGAGAAGAGGAGAAGGAGAAGGATGAGAAGAAGGAAGAAGGATGAGAAGAGAGAAGAAGAATGAAAGAATGAGAAGGAGGAGAAGGAAGAAGGAGAAGGATGAGAAGAAGGAGAAGTATGAGAAGAAGGAGAAAGAATGAAGAAAGGATGAGAAGAAGGATGAAAAGAAGGATGAGAAGAAGGAGAAGATGAGAAGAAGGACAGTTCTGTGACAGTTTTCTGTCTATTTCTGACAGAAAATTCTGGACATTCACTCCATACAGCGGTTTCAACCGCTGTATGAGAGGGAATGTCATAGAAACTGTCAAAAATGAGAGACTAGGATGACAGAAAAGGGACATCACTCCATACAGCGGTTGAAACATTTGTATCTAAAGGAATGAAAAATGACATAATTCTGCAAATACACTTAGAGGAGCGCTGCAGAGACACTTTTTGCCGGCTTGGAATTAATCTTATTTTCATCCTACTTCTTAAATCATCCTCATAAACATAAAAAGGAAAAAAGAAGAAGTTAGGATGAAAATAAGAATAATTCCAAGCCGGCAAAAAGTGTATCTGCAGCGCTCCTCTAAGTGTATCTGCAGAATGTCATTATGGAAAAAAATAGATACAATGGTTTCATTGTTTCCATAAATGGATCCATTTATGGAAACAAATAATACAATGTTTCAACCGCTGTATGGAAGGACAGTCCCAGAACTGTCATTAATAGTCTATTTCTGACAGTTCTATGACATTCCCTCCATACAGCGGTTGAAACAGCTGTATGGAGTGAATGTCCCAGAACTGTCAGAAATAGACTATTTATGACAGTTCTGGGACATTCACTCCATACAGCGGTTGAAACATTGTATCTATTTTTTTTCCATAAATGACATTCTGCAAATACACTTAGAGGAGCGCTGCAGATTTAATAATCTTATTTTCATCCTACTTCTTCTCATCATCATCCTTGAATAAGAAGAAAGAAGAAGGAAGTAGGATGAAAATAAGAATAATTCCAAGCCGGCAAAAAGTGTATCTGCAGCGCTCCTCTAAGTGTATTTGCAGAATGTCATTTATGGAAAAAAATAGATACAATGTTTCAACCGCTGTATGGAAGGACAGTCCCAGAACAACTGTCATTAATAGTAGTCTATTTCTGACAGTTCTGGGACATTCACTCCTCCATACAGCGGTTTGAAACTGCTGTATGGAGTGAATGTCCCAGAACTGTCAGAAATAGTCTATTTCTGACAGTTCTGGGAGAACATTCCTTCCATACAGCGGTTTTCCGGCAAAAAGTGTATGTGCAGAGTTTCTATCTGCAGATACACTTTAGAGGAGCTCTGCAGATACACTTAGAGGAGCTCTGCACATACACTTTTGGAAGGCTTGTCCCAGAACTGTCATTATTCTTATTTTCTTCCTCTTCTTCTTCTGAGGATGAGAAGAAGTGAATGAAAAGAACTAAGAAGTTAGTTGGGAGCTCATTCCTGCTCCATAAGATTAATTCCAAGCCGGCAAAAAGTGTATGTGCAGAGCTAAGGAAGTGTATCTGCAGAGCTCCTCTAAGTGTATCTGCAGAATAGAGGAACTCTGCACATACACTTTTTGCCGGCTTGGAATTATTCTTATTTTCATCCTACTTCTTCTTCTTCTTCTTCCTCATCCTCATCCTCTTCTTCTTCTTCTGAGGATGAGGATGAGAAGAAGAAGAAGAAGAAGAAGTAGGATGAAAATAATTAAATTCCAAGCCGGCAAAAAGTGTATGTGCAGAGCTCCTCTAAGTGTATCTGCAGAGCTCCTCTAAGTGTATCTGCAGAATAGAGGAACTCTGCACATACACTTTTTGCCGGCTTGCAATTATTCTTATTTTCATCCTACTTCTTCTTCTTCATTTCCAAACAGGCAAAAAGTGTATGTGCAGAGCTCCTCTAAGTGTATCTGCAAGAGCTCCTCTAAGTGTATCTGCAGAAATAGAGGAACTCTGCACATACACTTTTTGCCGGCTTGGAATTAAGAAAATCTTTTCATCCTACTTCTTCTTCTTCTTCTTCTTCATCCTCATCCTCAGAAGAAGAGATGAGGATGAGGATGAGAAAGAAGAATGAAGAAGTAAGAAGTAGGATGAAAAGAAGAATAATTCCAAGCCGCAAAAAGTGTATGTGCAGAGTTCCTCTATTTCTGACAGTTCTCTGACAGCTTCTTCACAATGTACAGCGGTTGAAACATCTGTATCCTAAATGTAAACTAATAGATACAATGTTTTCAACCGCTAAACATGTGTTCCTTCTGTCAGAGAACTGTCAGAAATAGCGGAGCTCACTGCAGGGACACTTTTACCGGCTGATCGGGAAATGTTCGATTCGCGCACCCCGAAGTAGGCAAAAATTTCGGATTCGACGCAAATCGAATATTTCCTGAAATTCGACTCGAATTCCGGTTCGCCTGGTTCGATTCGCTCATCTCTAATTACTACCTCCATATGACCTGGTCTATGATTATTATATAGGATTTATATAGCGCCAACAGTTTGCTCAGCGCTTTACAAGATAACAGGAGAAAATACAGCAACAATACAGTTCAATACAAGAGGGTTAGGAGAGCCCTGCTTCTTGCAGCTTACAATCTAGGAGATGCTCTATATGCACCATTGATTTTGACAACACTTTGTTTATGTCCTATATGCCTTTTCTTACTGGCTATGACAATCTGTATTCACTTTTTGTATGATATGGCACTTTCTTACAAGGTTATTCAGTGCACTTCTTAAGATGGTATTCGGTTTGCCTTCTTTGTGCAGGTTAGTTGTACAAATAATGGAATTACAGATAGTATTCAGAATTGATCTGAAGAGACATTGTCCTCCTAAGACAATAAACGCTTTTTTATACAAAACTACAGCAGCCCAGCAACTTAACTAAGATGCCCATGCATGTGTATGGAGATCTATGTGAAAAGAAAACAATTGAGCTTTTAACAAACCAGCACAGTTGAAATGAAAAGCCAAAAAAAAAATTAAGAAAACTGAACCAACATAAGCCTGCCAGGTACACACAACAGTGAGTTGCAAAGATGGGGACAGGAAAACTTCCTCAACTCTGGACCGAAAAATCCATAAGAGTCCCAAGATGTACTGGCCTGACCTGAAAAGTGTAGAACAGTATAAACTACAACAGGCAGGTGGTCACTGCCAACTGCAGGACTGATGCAGGACGAATAGCAGTATAGATAATGAACTGGAAACCTGTGCTGCTTGGCTACTTGGGGAGCTTGTTTTAAGGATTTCCAAATGTGGCCTGAATCTACCAGTACTATCTGTCAAATTTGAAGACAGCATGGCTGTGCGGGGCTCCGCCCACACAGCCGCATCACTCATTCACAGAGTTCTGTGGATGAGTGCCTACAAGTCCCGGCAGCCTTAGCGGCTGATTGCTTGGAGTTTTCAATGAGCTACCATGGCACTGTGGAGCACCGTGGTAGTTGATTCAAGCTTCCTGTCAGAATATCTGCTTGGCTGTACATCCCGTACGGCTAGCAGATATTCTGACAGGTCTGCAGGAGACCTGCATGGCATCAGCCATCTACTAATCGCTGGTGCAATGCTTTACAGGCTCCTTTGGACAAAAATAATAAATGCACATTTTTTTTACCTCCAAAAAAATGTGCATTTATTATTTTTGTCCAAAAGGTGAACTTATCCTTTAATCTCATTAAATTAAATGGGTGTAGGTATATCACTGCACACAGTAAAGTCAGACAGTTTAGTGGATTGAGAGTATTTGTATGGTATGCTTCAACAATTTGAAAAAAAAACATTATGCTATAAAAGAAAACCGAAAGAAATAAAAGAAATCTACTCACTATTATGGATTTCCATATGCACTGACAGATCTTGATAGCGACTGAAATAAATACCACAATGAGAACAAATATTAAGGGGCTGCCTGGTGTGGGTCCTCATGTGTCTGACCAGAGACGACTTAAATGAAAACCTTCTTCCACACTCTGTACACATGTAGAGTTTCTCTCCTGTGTGAACTCTCTGATGTACAATAAGGGATGATTTCCGTGTGAAGTATTTCCCACATTCAATACAGTGATAAGGCTTTTCCTTACTATTAGATCTTCCATTAGGATGTGATTTTGTGCCTTTTGTACATTCAGCTCTCTCCACTCCACTGGAAACAAGACCCTGCAATACCTTTCTAAAGGTATTATCCCTTGCCACACAACTGTTAAGACGTGTCCAGTTTCTTTCTTCTGAAAAAATTTTCAAGTCATCTTTGGTGTCACAACCTTGAAAGTCAATATTTTCCCGATTCTCTGCATGTGCCAAACTGCTGGGAGAGGTGCCACTAGCTGAAAAATACAATGCAGTTCTCAGTCCATAGATAAAATACACAAAACTGCTACCCTATTAGCACAGACACATACAATACACAACAGTCACAAGCATGGTATAAGAACATTTCACTTTGAAGGAGTGACAGTTCTGCAAAGTAAGATGCTGTGGAAAGTGTCAGATTGTGCATGTGGGGATAAGGGATAAGTCACAAAATAAAAAAATGCCCTTATTTTCCATTGTGAACATTTTAGTGGATGATTGAACTCTGCAGTTAAAGTGTATGTCAAGCAAAAACTGTTTTTTAGTTTTGGACAGGGAAGGAATAATTACAAGTCCTGTACACTTTTACTGCTATCCGGGGTTCTGTTAGATTGATTTTCCCCTTACCTCTTTTCCTGGTGACAATATTTTACAGACAGGAATTGAGGGACTCTCCAACAGCAAGACAGGTAGCAATAAAAGAACTTTCTTTGGTTGAGTAGGGGAACCCCTGTGAGATTTTTATTTCTGTGATCCTGTTGCAGATTTCCCCACTTATTGCCTAGTAAATCTGTTGTCACAGGACAAGAAAGGAGGGAAAATATCTCTAATGGAGCTCCTCATAGCAGTAAAAACCAGAAAGAGCTGTGTATGTGAGTTTACTAAAATGATCTTAAAGCAGAACTACACCCAAAAGGGGAAGTTCCACTTGTTTGCTCCTCCCTCTTCCTCCTTAGCAATTGGAACTTTTTTTTTGGGGGGGGGGGGGGGGGAATCAGGTACTTGGTTTTGACAGTGAACTTCACCCCCTTCGCCCACAGCCTTTTGGGACACGTCACAGGTCCCAGAAGACAGCAGGACCATTTACAAAGCGCAGCGCGGTTAGCGGGAAGCCTTGCAGCTTCACAGCCGTTAGTTAAGATGCCAGTGCCTGCACCTGAAGACCAGTGAAGAATCGGCTCGGGCAAGGACAGAACTGGATCCCTGGACAGGTGGGTGTCCTTCTATTAAAAGTCAGCAGCTACCGTATTTGTAGGTGCTGAATTTTAATTTTTTTGAGAGGGGCTTCTCTTTAAGGGCCCTTACACATAGGCATAATTAATTAGTGATGTATTTACACAGGAACTTGCTGATAGAGTCTGGAAGAAAGATCCTACTTAAAAACACAAGTAAGGTCCGTAAAGTCCTTGCATTTAGATGCATAGATGAGCAAACCTCCGATTGTGTAAGCATCCGTAAAATTCTTCTTCCATTCATTTATTTCAGGCAAGGATTACATACACATGAATGCATATTTGCTTTTACACATGTAGACTGATTATCAGGGTAGCTGCTACTCAAATAATGTGTAAAACCACATACTTTGTTAAAGCGGAGCTCCACCCAAAAGGGGAAGTTCCGCTTTAAAGACTGGTCCCCCGCTCCCCATTAAGGACTGGCACGTTTAGGGGGGTGGGGGGGAGCAGGTACCCAAATTTGACAGGTACCAGCTCTCATTTCCGCTCCGATTGCCTAGGTGATCAGAAGTGGAAGGTGTCCTCCCTTCCTCCCCCCCCCCCCCCGTAGTCTTTTGGGACACGTGACAAGTCCCAGAAGACTACAGGACCATTCAGGAAGTGCAGTGTTACTCGCACATGCGCAGTGGGCACACTGCTGTGAAGCCGCAAGCTGTCACAGTCAGGTGCCCACACTGAAGATGCCGGCGTCCAGGGAAAGAAGACGGCTGAATAAAACAGGCTGCAGGGGACACACCGCGGGACCGAGGGACAGGTGAGTGTGTGTTTTTTTTAAAAGTCAGCAGCTACAGTTGACTTTTATTTTTTGACAGCGTGAGTGGAAGCTTTAAATAAGAGCTGCACTCACACAACCCTTAACTTCATATAATTTGTGACACCAGCCTTTCATATAAATATATAAATATGGTGAAATCAAAATTAACTCACAATTTGTTATTGTGAACCAAAATATGCTAGTCCGTTATGTGCAACCAATATAAAGTGCTAATGCAATCCAATGTAAAGTATCATAATCATATTCCATAAATCTTCTTAAAGTGCTGTGCTCCATGCAACTCCACCCAAAACATTCCAATCTGTGTGCACTCCTAGGACCAAACTCACCAAAGGATGTTGACCCCTAAGCATACACTAAGGTAGGTCAATGAGTACTGTGTCACAGCCTTGCTGTGTGTGGCAATATCCCAGGGACTGGTGTTCATGCATTCATCCCATAGAGGAGAGGAAATCAAGGAGAAACATTCCTCATAGCGTATAGGTCCTGCCCCTTTAGACTTACACACCACTTCCACCTGGTAGAATACACGCTGGCTCCCATGCTGGTTGGAGCGGCAGCTCTTTCTTCCATAGAGCTTTTTGCAGATGATTCTGGGATGCAGTTGGGGACCGTTTATCGTGAGTGTGATTTGTTTACAGTTTTTATGAGGGTTTTAAAAAAAAAAACGGTCATTTTTGCACTTTGAAGACACTTTTTCAATTGTGAGTGATTGCCTCTCGGGGGATCAGGAAGGAATTTTTTCCCTGTAGGATCAAATTGAATCATGCTTTGCTGTTTTTTTTTTTTTTTGTCTTCCTCTGGATCAACTGTGGGTATAGGATTATAACTTTTTTTTTTTTTTTAAATGAACTGGATGGACTTCTGTCTTTTTTTAGCTAGACTAACTATGTAACTTTGCACTGGATTACATTAGCACTTTATATTTGTTGCACATAATGGACTATACATTTTGGGGCACAATAACGAATTCTTTGAGTTAATTTTAATTTCACCATATTTATTCATGTATAGATATGTGCTTGCGTCAATATTACTGACCATGGATGCAAAATGTTCAAATTTTGGTTTAGGAATCTGAAGGCAGCGCAATTTTACTAATTTTTATGCTTTTATTGTGAATTTATTCATAGAAACAATACACTGCACTTAGATCCATTTAAGAAAACGCCACTTTTTTGTGCAAGGACCTTAAAAATGAACAAATGGTCAGGCTATAGACACTGAAATATTTATATATGCTTAACAGGTAAATGGACAAGCCCTCACTGACATTCAGTAATTTTCTCAGCAGCTCAGCTCACCCTCTCCCAGAGAATCTGCTTTGTGTTTAAATTAGAAATAAAAGGCGGCAACAATGCTGAGCAAATGGTGTGCTAGCAAGCCGGTGATGTGGAGAATAAATTGCTCCACGATGCTTGCAACAATTAGGGCAATGGGGGCTTGTTGAAAATATGCACATAGCTTGGCCACATATTCATTTTAAGCTGGATACACAATAAGATTTGATCCATCAGATCAACAAAAATGTGTCCAAACCTTCTTACAGTTAAGCAATCCACTTAAGATATATCAAGCAGACCCCCACACTAGCTGTGTGTTGATCTCATGGATCATATCTGAAAGGAAACCCAACTCTAAATGTCCAGTATTAGTTACACTGTGTACACGAGACATCCAGGGAGCATGAAGACATACCTGTATGTACTATCTGGTGCCTCATTAATAGATCCTGCTGCCAGAACTGTTGACCCACACTGCAAGCATGCATGGGAGCCCACTGCACCACTCTTAATTACATTGTTGTTTCTTTTGTCTTCTGCTTTCAGATTCAATGCCCCAGTCTTGTGGGTTTTCAGGTGTACCATAAGCTGTGATGTGTGACGGAAGCTCCTTTCACATTGAGAACACTTATAGGGTTTCACTTTTCTGTGAACCTTCTGGTGCCCGGAAAAGGCTGGAATAGCGAGAGAAGCATTTGCCACAATCTGGACATATATTCCCTGTCTTGGTGATGTGGATCCTCAGATGTCTGACCAAGGAAGATTTAAGACCAAACCTCTTCCCACACTGTGTACACATGAAGCGTTTCTCTCCTGTGTGGACTCTCTGATGTACAATAAGAGAGGACTTCCGGGTGAAGCTTTTCCCACACTCGGCACACAGAAAGTGTTCCTTAGCCCTCCTGACCTTCTTGTCTGCTTTATTGCAAATGTACATAGAATGGTTTTCTACCAAATTTAGCTGGGAGTTACTGCATGTGTCTTTACGCTCAGCTTTCCTACTTTCTTCACCTTTCTGACCAGTTTCACACACACTGGAGCATGTTTTTGTGCCAATAAAGTATTTACCTGAAGAATAAAAAGAGAAATAAAATGAACCTCACTTTCATTACATTAGTCAATCTTCAGTATTTATGAGGAGTGATAAAATACATAAAGAGAACCAGTCAGAAAATGGGCATTTGTATTACTTTAATACTCTAATTTTGAACTCTTGATAACAATGCAGCCATAGCTCTTAAAGCATATTTAACTTCAACCTATTTTGCAGCTTACCAGTGCTTAGATGTGGTGGCTGCATTAGTTTCTCTATTTTAAGGATTTTTTTTTTAATTTTCTTTCACCTGGTGATCTGGCCAGTAACACATATCTTAGGGTTGCTCCTCTATTTATGGAGGAGCACCAGAGATACCCTTGAACAGTAGCATGGCCTGGTGAAGTTAATCAACCGACAAGAACATAATTCACGAAAATATGGTGGTTACATTGGAAGATACTGCAATGGCCCATATTGTAAAAATAACCCTTGCCCTCATCTATTGGTGCACAAGAAAGAAGACTAAATAAAAGCGACTATTTCCAGACATTTGGGCAGAGTCTCCTGTTACTACAGCCAAACAGGAGTTGGTTAGTTATTTCACTAGTTCAGGCATTCTCGACCAGGGTTCTTCCAGAGATGGCAAAGGGTTCCTTTAGCTGTGGCTAACTGGCCTCCCATATGATAGTGCCTGCATAGTTTCAGGTCCAACACCACTTGGCAGAGCCAGGGCAATGACTGTATGGGCTGGATTTAATGTAAGAACATTACACTCACCGACAACCAATATAAGGGGCATTTTCCAAATTAAAACCTATAGACTAATCTTAGAAGTGGTCCCCTGGGGCCTGAAAATTATTCCATGGCTTTCTTTCGGATAAAAGTTTGAGAGAGGCTGCACTATTTCAAGCCCTAGTAACATAAACGGATGCAGAATTATCTTTTTCCACAAATTTTCTTTTGATGTATACAACTACTACCATATTCATAAAGGGACTGCAAAAAGTACTGAGTAGTAAAACAAAGCAATGTATCAGATTCTATTACATTTTAGAAGATTAAGCTGGCCATACACTGTTCGAATTCTGTTTAGTTCCTGATGGTCCAGACAAAATTCCATCTGTTGCTGGCCCCCTCCAGCTCAAAGTCCTTTGTTTGAAAAATCAAAAGGAGCCAGGAAAATTGTCGGACCAACAGCAACTGCATCCAATTCCAGCAGAGAGATTTGTCCATCTGTGTTGTATAACGTAGATGGAAGAATTTGCAGGCTGTAAAAAAAAAAAACCAAAAAAAAAACCACACAACTATCAGTGTATGGCCAGTCTTAGCGAACAGTAGCAAACTTCTGAATAAAGTTGGTCATACACTAGTGGAATTCAGTTCACAAGTTCTATTTTAGAATGTTAGTTCGATTTTCTGATTGTTAATGAGGTCAGATTGGCATTCGTTTTCAGCTGCAGTGATGATAAAATTTTAAGAAGCAATGTGGAACATATTTCTCAACAACAAATTTCCAACACTGAATGTGGTTTTAGTTCAGAAAAGCCCATTTATTCCAAAATTGAATGTTAAATGCACATGAAACAAAAAGTTTCATACGAATGTTCGGGCAAGGTCATTAAAGAGGCTGCTTGTCTGTCCCCATGGATCCCTCTGTAGCCAGATGCAGCAAAAGGTTGCTCTGACAGTGGCTAGAACTCTTCTAAATGACGATCGCTAGTGATGAGTGCGTTATCTTGCCCTAGTGAGAAAGGGAGCAATTCTACAGCCTCTTAGCATTCTGACTGCTGGAGATTTAGACAAATTGCCTGCATCAGAATCACTAGTGGCAGAGTCACCCATCTGACATTAGCCTAAGGCCCCTTTGACACGGCAGTCTAGTCAGGTTCACCTGTCTGTTTTTCAGGCGGACCCTCCATTCTCCTCTATGGGCAGTCAGATATAAACTGACTTTTATCAATTTACACCCAGCTACCTCCAATCAGTTCCGGCAAAAACAAATGGAAGGTGGATTCATTCCCCTTTCTCTGGCCAGATCAGTTCAGAGGGCAAGTGGGTGTAAACGGACAGTCAGTTCATTTGCATCCAACTGCCCATAGAGGGGCTGTGTTCTTGTCCTCTCCGCTTATGCAGACAGATTCCACGCTGAGCAAGTGAAAGGGCTGCTATATGTTGCTCTTGACCTATTCGTCAGGTCTGCACATATTCATTCTGAAACACGATAAAATCAGACGTGTGCTCAATAACATAGTATTCAGCATTATGATCTGAGGCCCCTTTTGCTTACCTTGGTGTATGCCCTGGTGTTTTTGGAGCTTATTTTGCTCCTGAAAACTCTCACCACCTAATGAGCCCATGTAGGGCTCTTCTTCAGTGCCTGCATTGTTGGTCAGTTTATCTCGATCATCAGAGTCCTTCTCCAGGAATGTCCTTAGGGTTGTGTGTTTTCTCTGATGTGCAACCAGCTGTGATGCTCCAGGAAAACTCTTCTTGCACTGAGGACACTGAAAGGATTTTTGCTTCCTGTGAATTTTCTGGTGCTGAAATAAGCTTGAGTAGCGGCTAAAGCACTTGCCACAGTCAGGACAAATGATGAGGATTTTTGGAGAATGAGTTCTCAGGTGTCGGACCATTGAAGACTTGAGGCCGAACCTCTTCCCACACTGCGCACACATGAAGCGTTTCTCCCCGGTGTGGACTCTCTGATGTACAATAAGGGAAGACTTCCGGGTGAAGCTCTTCCCACACTCAGCACACACAACGCGTCTCTCTACACTGTTCTCGTTCCTCTCTGAGTGATTATATTCATCTTCTAACTTACCAGAACCATTAATTCTAACCAGCTGAGGGGACAGACCTGAATCTGACTTATGGCCAACAGAGCTGCCATGTGTAAGTCCACAAATGCTGACAGCAGGCAACAAAGGCTTGGCTGAAAAATAAAATTCAAATATACTATTAGAAACCAGGATTAATATCTTTGTAATGAATAATTCTGCATTTTAAAGCAAACCTGTTTTGTATACCGCCACAATTACCCTTGTAAAAATGATGCATGCATCCAGCCTAATTACTTATTTAGCAAAAAAACAGTTCCCAAAATTCTTATCAGGGGGAATTCAAGAAACAGCAATTTTCTGGTGCTATGGCCCTTTAAAATGGCCTGTGCTATATTCAAAAATCCCTGCCTCCTGTCAGTAGCTTTACCAACACATGTGGCGGATTCAGGTAGTTCCTAATAGTACCACTTTTACAAAGTGAAGCTATTAATGTACCAAATTCAAACAGAATTACCTCCAGTTAATAGATAACAAAATGGTAGGTAACCGAGGCCAATTATGAGCTGGTGTACAGAAACAGGCAGAGTGCTGTCTCTGTACACCATGTAGAAGGTGGCATACAGGATTTGCTGCCACTACCCCCTACCCTTGGTTGTTAAGGATGTGATTGGCTAGCTCCTCATTAGGTCTGCTCTCTCATTGTGATTGACAACAGGCAGGGGGCGGATTCTATACTCAATAGCAGGCTATATATTGGCTAAGGGTTCACTCACTACCTGTTCACAATCACAAGGGATGAAGACCTAAAAGGGAACTAGTGTCTGTGAATTTCCATTAGGGTCTGCCTACCCAGCTTTAAATCTCTCTGCCACTGCACTTTCTATGTGACAGCTGCAGTGGCAGGAAGAAGCTCACTTGCACTGAGGATGGTGTGTCCGTACCTGTTACAACACCTGTTATACATGTGCCTGTTGTATCTGTGTAAAAAAATCTGTGACTAAATGAGACAATTGTGCAGGTGGTGCCCTGCACATCTGCACCACTTTTCAAAGTGACAGCAGCAGGTGGTGTCCTGCACATCTGCACCAGTTTTCAAAGTGACAGCAGCAGGTGGTGCCCTGCACATCTGCACCAGTTTTCAAAGTGACAGCAGGGGCTGTGGGTGGGTCCACTTGCACCTTGTTACACACTAATATGGGTGCAACATGTTGCAAAAGATGAAGTTAGCCTTTAAGGGCTCCTTGACTCCAGATGGTCATGCCGATTGCACAGCTGCTAGTGTGTGCTGCCATAAACAGTGCCAAAGTGCCAATACTGGCACACAGCATCATTTTTCTTTTTTGCAAACTTTATTGAAACGTCAGCATGACATTTCATAAAGTTTTTTTTACACAGTGGTGTTGGGATGCAGTTTTCATCACAACCAGCTGCATGAAGTTATTTTTCAACGCACACCACTGACACTATAGGAAACAGGGCTTTTTACTTTGTCTTGCGCTAGGACTGCGCCTGGCAATGCTGCCGTTCCTTTCTGGTATAAAGTGACTTTCCAGCCAATATACTTTTCCTCACCAATGTGTCTCCCCTGGTGGCTGATAAGAGATCTGCTCTTTTTAAAGCTTTTCTTGCACACATTAGCTTCCTCTGCTCTGTGAAGGAGGGCGACATGCTCCACGACATTAGAATTTTTTTCACCATGTCCCTTTCGTTCATGTATCCTCTGATGGACCACAAGTTCTGATGTGTGAACAAAACCCTTCCCACACTTATGGCATTTATAATGTCTTTCTCCTTTATGGACTTTCTGGTGCTGGAAAAGGCTGGAATAGCGAGGGAAGCACTTGCCACAATCTGGACATATATTCCCAGTCTTTGGAATGTGGATTCTCAGGTGTCTGACCATTGAAGACTTGAGACCGAACCTCTTCCCACACTGTGTACACATGAAGAGTTTCTCTCCTGTGTGGACTCTCTGATGTACAATAAGGGAAGATTTCCGAGTGAAGCTTTTCCCGCACTGAGTACAGATATATCTCTTCTGTCCATGGCGGTTTTCTTTCTCCAGGTCAATTTTATGATCACCGTTTTTCAGCTTTTCATTCATTTCTGCCTGTCTACCACTGTTCTGCGTGCACTATTACTGGAGGATGTTTCGCTTTCTGTTCTTCTAACCATGCTGTGCTCTTGCAGATTGTAATCATATCCAAATGTATACCAAGGATTTTCTTCACCTGAAAAAGTATAATAAAATAGTCTATTATTATTATTGGTGGTGCAGAACACAATACACAACATAATATATGAGAGAGAATAGAGCTTCCTTAGAAAAAACACATAAGCTTCTGATCCAAGTGACCAGGGCAAGGGCTGGGCAAGAGAGGCAACAGCCCTGGGCACATGTGTCAAGATCAGTGGCTGTGAACCAGTGGGCCACTGCTTCATGTTTGCTTTGACAGCTACTGCTGTCACGCTATGCTCCAACATACCCACTCTCCACGTCATCCACCCACAGGTGACACAAAAAACACAGCGCATAAGCAACTACCTTTAAGCAGCTGCAAAAGGAAACGATTGGCTATGCAGGTACAGTGCACACTCCATGCCAACCAAGAGGAGCAGGAGCAAGGGGGCAGAGAATGGGAGCAGGGCAGTACACCCATTCTATGTCATACATTAGCATCAGGGGAGGGCGTAGTGCTGCATCTTTGCCCTGGGTGCTGGAGAACCCTGTCCTAGTACAGCTAATGATCATGGTGTGTGTACACCTGAGCACTTATAGAACTCTAGGAAAAGGTCTGGAGCGAATGGTTTAATGTACAGTGCCATTTCACCTAAATCAGAAGACACAAATGAGGGAGATCTAAACCTGGAGCACTCAAGAGTCTGGTGCAGCTCTGCATGGTAGCCAATCAGCTTCTACCTTCAGCTTGTTAAATTAAGCTTTGACAATAAAACCTGGAATCTGACGGGTCTCTATGCAAAGCTGCACCAGTTTTTACACCATGCAGTAAATATCCCCCAATGTATGTCTGATTAATAAAAGACGGTGTCACCAGACAGATACCCTAACGCACCGTTTAAGCCCATTGCTGGGTATAACGTAGAATGTATTTTTTGAAATGTGAGCAATGTGATTATGGTAGTCATTTGTAAAAACAAGACTTTAGTTCTACTTTAACAGAACAAGCTGTCTATACAAAGTAATAGTTTGAGGGTTGAGACACACTATTTCCCACTGACAGGGGTGTTTACAATGATCGGCTTTTGTAAAACGTGTGTTGAGCTGTAGTGTGCATGAGGCCTTAAAGTGTTAGTTCACCTTTACAGAAAAAAAAAAAAATGAAAAGGTGAACTAACCCTCTTCCCTCCCCAAGGTTACATACCTCCGGGGATGCTGAGCTGTCAGCGCCACACACAGCTAGTGGTTATGGGCTTTGAAATCCCTGCTCCTCTCTGTACAGCCCAGAGTGATTCTGATTGGTCAGCGCCATCTATGATCCATCCCGGAAGCACTGCAGAAAGAAGAGCCAGGATTTCTCATCACCCCGACTGCAGGACCAGCTGAGTGGGCACTGACAGCTCAAACAGCACTCCCAGAGGTAAGTACAGCTGGGACCGGGAGTAGGGGGGTGGAAGGCATATTGTGTTAGTTGACCTTTTCATTTTTTTCTGAAAAGGTGACCTAACACTTTAAAACTCTGAAGGCAGAGCATTAACGTTGCAGCCAGACAATCTGCATTTTCAGAAGCAGACATCAGCAATGGCCGACTACATATTCCTCAGGTGGCCGGCTCCGGATAGAATATTCTGTCCTGCGCTCTGATTTGGAGAGCCTGCTCTATTCTGAGCTAGTGACTACACAGGAAGTGAAATCTCCCCAATGGGGACACCACAATACAAATATATCAGGGGCCCATCCTTCAAGTCAAAGATGAAGATGCTTAATCCCACACGTTCCTGCTAAAGATGGCTGTATGCATAGGTGGGTCGGCAGCAACTGTCGGCTGGAACTGAGCACAAAGTCAATGGAGAGAAATGTCACCGGCACACCAAGGAACTCCAATCTGGGTCCAAAAAGGCTTTAATGAAGGTTTACATAGTTACAGCAAGGCAACGTTGTGGAGTCTCGCAGGACTCCTTCATCAGACATGTGACGTGTCCTTTTTGGACTCAGAATGGAGATCCTTGGTGTGTCGGTGACGTTTCTCTCCATCCTTCAAGTCAGACTGTAATATAAAGTTCAAACAGCCATGAAATCAGTATAAAGATCTACCCATCAAGTCCTGGGGACCACAGAGGAAGTGAAGGAAAATCTGCCCAATGGGGACACAGAAATGAGCAGCAGGCAGAGGTAGGTATTCTACAGAACAAACTGTAATATAAAGCTACAGCAGCAATTAAATCATTATAGAGATCTGCCCATCATGTCCTGGGGACCACAGAGGGAGTGGGGGGAAATCTGCCCAACGGGGACACAGAAATGGACAGCAAGCAGAGGTATTCTACAGGACAGACTGTAATATAAAGCTCTAGAATCCATGAAATCATTATAGAGATCTGCCCATCATGTCCTGGGGACCACAGAGGAAGTGGAGGGAAATCTGCCCAATGGGGACACAGAAATGAGCAGCAGGCAAAGGTATTCTACAGGACAGACTAATATAAAGCTCTAGCAGCCATGAGCACATTGTAGAGCTGTGCAGTGATGGAGATGTGATGAACACACAAAAATGAAGGTGTCATGGTCCCCAGCACACCACACACATACATTAGGGTTGCCCCCTCATCCCTTTAAAGCCGAACATATAATAATTACACAGGTTCTGAGGCTCATTTCATGCAGACAAGGCACTGGGTTTAATAACCCCCTTAGTCAGCCCCAGAACCTGTGTAATTAATATATGGTCTCTTTTAAAGGAATAAGGTAGCAACCCAAACATACATACATAGATACACACACGCTACTCACCGCTCCACCCCCTGACCCCAGCGCGCCACACCTTCCATATCCGGTGCTCATGGAAGCGTGAGGGTTTCTGGGAGTTGTAGTTCCGGCGGCCCCATACTCCGCGGGTGGGAACATTGAGACACTACAATACCCAGACACCACTGCACACCGCCGCCTCTCCCATACACACCAGAACAGACTGTCATGAGGCAGGGCTGACAATAGGTGTCGCACTCTGCCAATGAATATCCTTATACGGGTTTCCCGGCCAACCTTAGCGCGTAGGGGGAGTGTCCATGGCGTGTTTCGGGATTAGCCCGTCTTTGTATCCAATCCGCGAGTGGCAGGGAGGCTGAGCGGAAGTGTCACTTTGTTTATAGGTGTCACGGATGATGTTAGCGATGAGTGTCCGCAGAGGGGCTCCGTGGGGGGCCGGGGCTGTCTGGATTCCGAGGGTTGTGCTGCGGCAGGTCAGATCTACAGCACTGCTTCTCCATAGATGTGTCTGTCCTCCAGATGTTGGAGAGGTGATTGGGTTGTCACCTCATTCCTTTAACACCGGACACATGAATTCCACAGGTTCCGAGGCTAATGTAATACACACAAGGCACTCAGGGAGTTTAATTACCACCTTAATCTGCCACGGGATCTGTGTAATTCATATGTGTCCGGTGTTAAAGGATGAGGTGGCAACCCTAAGAGGTGACCCCACACATCATACATCCATTCACATATAGAAGCCATTCCTAGCTGTGGGTAGAGGAAGGAAAACATAGCTGACAGGATTTTATTTTTGCTCTGTGTGTCCCATTGAGGAGATTTACCTCCACTTCCTAGATTTCGCCAAAGTGGGATCCATCAGACCCAGTGTCCCCCCTAGGAGGATTTCACCTTGATTACTGTTGCTGTGACAACTCACAGTTTTGGATCTTCCCTTACTCTGGACTTGTTCCCACAAGTGACTATTATTGCTGCCCCCCTGAAAGACAGGATAGATCACTTTTCAGAGGGGATTTAACAGATGGTTAGGAGATGCCGCATTCTCACTGCCTGTTTTTAACCCAAAAATGCCCACCCACCGCACAACAACTGCTTGCTTCAGCAGCATGGCTCCATTTGCTTTACTGGGTGGAGTTCCATAGCGGCATGCTGATTGTAGTATGCTGTTTTATTTTGCATTTCTGTGTTTCAGTGGATGGCTGGGGTGGTAAAACTACAGCTCAATCATCCGCTTTTACCACCAAAGTGTGAACCACTTCTAGGCTGCATTCACACCTGCGCATTTCCTTAATGTGTGACAAAACACACAGAAATGTGCATTTTGCTATGCATTTCAAAAATGTGCTGCAATCATGGGTCACGCATGGACTGCTATTAATTGTTATAGCGCCCCAAGCATGGGCAGCAGACGCACACAACAAAATGCACAATGCTGCACAACAGAAAAGGTTCTGAAGCTACTTTGGGGCATTTGTCACTCATAGGGTTATCCATTCAAGTTAATGGGCTGTCCTAGGTGCAACACATGTTATTGCAAAAGAAAAACACAAGTGGGATCACAGGTTCCTGCTTTCTTCAGGTGTACATAGGGCCTTACTGCTTCATCCACCACAGGATGCAGGAAAGAAAACTTCTTGATTCCTCCATCAGCACAGTCAGTGTTGATGGGGACCTTCCCTGCCGGCAGAACACAATGATTACTGCTACCTGGTGTAGATGCCGGAAGTAATCACTTGTAAAAAAGCCAACAGTACCTAAGTCAATCTATGGATCATCTTAAGTACAACCAGCCTGCCCATAGATGAATCAAATCTCAGCCAGACCTGCTGAACCGGCCAAGATTCGATCCATCTATGGCCGGCTTATTGGGCCATAAATTGTAAGCAAGCTTGTAAACATGTAGATATGGTGCTGTAGTTGTGGTCATATGAGGTCTCTTAATGGGACAGCACAGTGGCTAAGTGGTTAGTACTTCCGCCTGGCAGTACTAGAGTTGTTGATTCAAATCCCAGCCACAGCACCACCTGCCTGTAGTTTGCATGCTTTCCCTGTGCCTGCGTGGGTTTCCTCCGGGTACTCCGGTTTCCTCCGGGTACTCCGGTTTCCTCCCACACTCCAAAGACATGCTGGTAGGTTAATTGGTTCCCGTCTAAATTGGCCCTAGTATGTGTATGTATGAATGTGAGTTAGAGACCTTAGATTGTACGCCCCTTGAGGGTTAGGGACTGATGTGAATGTACAATATATATGTAAAGTGCTGCGTAAATTGACGGCGCTATATAAGTACCTGAAATAAAATAAATAATAAATTACTCTGTTATCTCAATTGCAGCATCATGGTAGAAAACTGTGTTTTTTGTCTTTTTTTACAAAAGTATATTGTGATTTGGTACCGCTGATAAAAAAGAGCAACGTTCCCTGATAAGATCTATCAGATGTCTAAAGTATGAAATCTGTGATGATGTAATAACTAATCATAAGCCATGTGTGTTGACAGATCAGTTCGTTCCCTGTATACTCCTTCCCTGCGGAAGTGAAGGTTGTTGAGGTTGGACCTAGGGATGGATTACAGAACGAGAAGGTAAGCACCATTCAGCTGCATTCACACTTGAGCTGAGTGTCTTCAATTGTTTTACAGGCAGTTTTGCTTGAGCTATTATTTTTAACAAATGGAAAGCTCATTTCTAGGTCCACGTGTACCGTGTGTGCTTTTCAGGTGTCCCCGTTGAAGTCTATTGGGGTCAAAAATGCTTGACGCTTGTATCTCAAAATATGCTCATGTACTTTTTTGAGCTTCAAGTGACACTACACTCAGGTGTGAACAGGCACTTTTGAAACCCATGGGATTTTCAATGTTGAATGTTTTCAAGCTGCCAGACATTCAGGTATGAATGGGGCCTGAGGCTGCGTTCACAATATAGCAGCATGCACGTGTTCAAAACTTGTTTAGCTAATAAAAATTCCTTCAGCTTTATTCACATCACTTACAGTGAAGGTATGTCCCACATGGTTCAGACAGCTGGTTTTTAGAGAGATCTTCACTGCAAGGATGAAGGTATCTCAGGAGCGATGACATCCCTTCCTGTTAGTGTTCCATTTCTGCACACTGAGACTAAAAATGCCATCCCCTGAGCATTGGGAGAATCCAGGAGTCTCCAGGCCCAACAGTCAAACTATGCAGTACAATGTGTGGAGCAGACTGGGAGTGGCAGACACCTGGGTCCACCCACCACAGCAATTAGTGATATAAATACAGTGGATATAAAAAGTCTACACACCCCTGTTAGAATGTCAGGTTTCTGTGATGTAAAAAAATGAGACAAAGGAAAATAATTTCAGAACCTTTTTCACCTTTAATGTGACCTATAAACTGTACAACTCAGTTGAAAAACAAACTGAAATATTTTAGGTGGAGGGAAGTAAAAATAAAAAAGTAAAATAATATGGTTGCATAAGTAATACTTTGTTGAAGCACCTTTTTGATTTGATTCCAGCACTCAGTCTTTTTGGGTAGGAGTCTTTCAGCATGGCACATCTTGACTTGGCAATGTTTGCCCTCTTCAGATCACCCCACAGATTTTCAATCGGATTCAGGTCTGGGCTCTGGCTGGGCCATTCCAAAACTTTAATCTTCTTGTGAAACCATTTCTTTGTTGATTTGGATGTATGCTTTGGGTTGTTGTCATTGAAAGATGAAGCTCCTCTTCATGTTCAGCTTTCTAGCAGAAGCCTGAAGGTTTTGTACCAATATTGACTGGTGTTTGGAAATGTTCATATTTCCCTCTACTTTGACTAATACCCCAGTTCCAGCTGAAGAAAAACAGTCCCAAAGCATGATGCTGCCACCACCATGCTTCACTGTTGGTATGGTGTTCTTTTGGTGATGTGGAGTGTTGTTTTTGCGACAAACATATCTTTTGGAATTATGGCCAAAAAGTTCACCCTTGGTTTCATCAGACCAGAACACATTTCCCACATGCTTTTGGGAGACTTCAGATGTGTTTTTACAAAATGTAGCCGGGCTTGGATGTTTTTCTTCATAAGAAATGGATTCCGTCTTGCCACTCTACCCCATAGCCCAGACATATGAAGAATACGGGAGATTGTTGTCACATGTACCACACAGCCAGTACTTGCCAGATATTCCTGCAGCTTTCGTTAATGTTGCTGTAGGCTTCTTGGCAGCCTCCCAGACCAGTTTTCTTCTCATCTTTTCATCAATTTTGGAGGGACGTCCAGTTCTTGGTAATGTCACTGTTGTGCCATATTTTCTCCACTTGATAATGACTGTCTTCACTGTGTTCCATGGTATATCTATTGTCTTGGAAATTCTTTTGTACCCTTCTCCTTACTGATACCTTTTAACAGTGAGATCCATCTGATGCTTTGGAAGCCCTTGCGGTCCATGGCTTTTGCTGTAGGATGTGACTAAGAAAAATGTCAGGAAAGACCTACACTGCAGTGCACTGACTCCTATTTAACATGATTTTGAATGTGATTGCTAAATTCTGAACACAGCTGCATCCCCATTTATAAGAGGGTGTGCACACTTATGCAACCATGTGATTTTAGTTTTTTATGTTTACTTCCCCCCCTAAAATATTTCAGTTTGTTTTTCAATTGGGTTGTACAGTATATAGGTCACATCAAAGGTGGAAAAAGTTCTGAAATGATTTATCTTTGTCTAATTTTTTTTTACATCACAGAAACCTGACATTTTAATAGGAGTGTGTAGATTTTTTATATCCACTGTATGTCACAGTTTGCTATATAAAAAAAAACAATGGGGAATGTACACAGGACAGGTGGCAGGGGGATTACATGCATAGCAACTAACAGTCTTAAAGGATAATTTCACCTTTAGTAACATGTTACACCCATATTTAGGGTGTAACATGTTACTGTGCACTTCTCTCCTCACTCCCAAATCCAAAATCATGTGTGTTTTTATTTATTTATTTATTTATTTTTAAGTTCTAAACTTTGGCTTTAAAAGGGAGCAGAAGGCTTTTTCAAGAACAGAAAAGACAGGTGTTCTCACTGCTAGGATTGTGTGTACTACAAAAATAAAGTATTTAAAGGTGTCTAAGGCCTTTTTAAGCAACTAATACAATTTCAGTTCAGCTTTAAATGTTCTTATAACTGAAATATTGCCCAGCATTCAGTTTGTTTAAGCTGCAATTCCTCTATGTCTTATAGACAAATGTACCGACAGAAGTGAAAATCAACCTTATTAACATGCTATCCGAATCTGGGTTGAAATCAATTGAAGCAACAAGCTTCGTATCTCCAAAATGGGTTCCTCAGGTATGTACCTTTTTTATTAAGCTTTGGAGTTACAGAGCGGAACAGTCTCAAACCAATAATTTTGTAGGACTCCCTCACCAAATTACATCATATTTGTTCAAAAAGAATATTTAAATATAGTGGGTTTGTACATACCGGAATGTACTTTCTTTAAGTATTATGGACAGGACAAAATCTGTTAAAAATAAGATCTTGCATTTTATTATCCATATTTTATATCTAGCCAGCAGGTGGCACTCTTCAGTCCACTTTTCACTATTCACCTATTTCAACTCAGCTTTGCTGAAAGAAGTACATTGTTTACAGAATTCTAGTGAGCTTCACAGCATTGACCAATCTCTTTATCAAACTGCTCAGTAGAGGGAGCCTTGAAACTGACAAAACTGAACTTCAAAGCAGGCTTTTTTAATGTGCTGTCTCTTTAGCTATCTCATAGTGCTTTGGCAATTCATAGCCATGCATTGGTTTTTGTTTTTTTTTTTGTAAAACAAAGATTTCATATATAATAAAAAAAAGATATAAAGCAACAGTTTAAAAAAAGATGTCATAAACACTACAGAGGCACAGCTTGTAGGGCTCAATACCTCATACTCAATACTGTCTTCTTCTTTTTCCTCCTCCCCTTTCCTTTTTCTTTGTGATTGCCATTGATGCAGGGAGATAATGGACAGACATAGCCAGACTGATGGGCATTAGCAGACAGATTTATTGCTATTGACCCAAACAAATAGATGAACAAAAATAAATGAACAGACTGATTGTCTTTGACAACCATTGTGGTTAGTATTGACTGCCATCCTGACTGATGTTGGCATGGACATTAGTGAACATAGGATGACTGATCACTGGCAATGCATCGATTGCTATTGACAGAAACTGTAACTGGCACAAACAGACTTATGGAAAGACCTTTGCAGTGAGGAGGGGGCATCATTTATCAAGTTATTATAGTGCTGGTGGGGACGTGGAGGGTGCCATTCCTGAGATCTCATTCTGAAAACACTAGTTGTCAGGATGTGATGTTGCACTTTTGTCTTTTTTTTTTTTCACAGGCTTTCTCTGACTTTCCTGATGTGCATATTTCAGAATGAGGTCAGCAATTGCAGTCATTATAGCTCTCTCATAACAGATTTACTTTAGCTTAAAATTAAATTAGGAAGCCATTCATGGCCTCAGTGCAATTATGCAAGCCTCAAGTGTAGAATCTAAGCGATTTAGCAGTCCCGGTCCTACCAGTGTGTTCTGGCGGGAGGGGAGATCCTTAAAGTGATTGTAAAGGCATTTTTTCTTGATAATAAACATGTTACTGCCTATGTGCTATGGTTTTGCACAGAGCAGCCCCGATCGTCCTCTTCTCGGGTCCTGTGCCGGGACCCCTGGCCCCTCCCTCCTGCCAGGTGCACCCACAGCAAACAGCTTTCAGTCCACTCCCGCTGCTTTGTCTGCCAATGAGGAGGCAGAGACCTGGGAAAGCCAAGGCTCTCATGCACATCGCTGGATCGAGATGGGACTCGGGTAAGTATAAGTGGTGCTGGGGGGCTGCTGCACACAGAAGATTATTTACCTTCATGCATAGAATGCATGAAGGGGAAAATCCTTGAGCCTTACAACCACTTTAAAGGTTAAGTTCACCCGTATTCAGGGTGTAACATGTTACTAAATCAGCAGCCCCTGTACCCCCCAAGCCCCCATTGTGACAACAGGTAGGGGATTTCCTCCCAGCTCCCACTATGAAAAGAGCATGGCTGTGGGGGGCTGCACCCACCCAGCTGCATCAATCATTCACAGAATTCTGTGAATTAATGAACTACAACTACCATCGCGGCTGATGGCTTGTAGTTCTCAATGAACCACAATGGCAGTGACGAGCGCTCTAGTAGATCATTGATACTTCCTGCAATTCAGTAGCTGTCTGCCTGCCCATAAATATTACAGGCAGACAACAACACTGACAGTCTGCAGGAGCTTGACACTGCACCCACAATCTGCTGATCACGGATGCAGTGCTTTATACAGTGCCTTGAAAAAGTATTCGTAGCCTATCCGTTTAAGTGGACGGCCATGTCTTGGTAGATTTGCTGTTGTGCCATTCTATTTCCATCTTCGGATGATGGATTGAATAGTGCTCTGTGAGACATTCAAAGCTTGGGATATTTTTTTATAACCTAACCCTGCTTTAAACTTCTCCACAATTTTATCCCTGACCTGTCTGGTGTGTTCCTTGGCCTTTATGATGCTGTTTGTTCACTAATGTTCTCACACAGGCTGACTCTATTTACTAATTAGGTGACTTCTTAAGGCAATTGGTTCCACTAGATTTTAGTTATGGGTTGAGGTTGAGAATAAAGGGGGCTGAATACAAATGCATGTCACACTTTACAGATATTTATTTGTAAAAAAAATTGAAAACCAATTATCATTTTCCTTCCACTTCACAATTATGTGCCACTTTGTGTTGGTCTATCACATAAAATCCCAATAAAATACATTTATGTTTTTTTTTGTTGTAACGTGACAAAATGTGGAAAATTTCAAGGCTTATAATAAAATAAACAAACACACACTTTTTTTTTTTTTTTACTTGCAAAAAGATGTGTATTTATTTTTTCTTTTTGTGAACTTAACCTTTAATGACCGGAGACTCTGAGATAGCTGAGCAGATTCTGGTCTTGTTTCAGTGAGAATGCCTTCTACGCTGTCTAGCTAAGGGGCTCTGTACTTGGCCAGGCAGTGCATCAGTAGTGGTCAAGGATCTGACTATGTAGTCTGGTTGTAGTTTATTATTATTAAGTGCCATCAACTCATGTCCAAGTCCTAGTGACTTGATGAATAAGAGCTCTAAAAGAAGCCTGCTTTGTGCTAGTCTGCCGAGATCTTACAGTGTCATCCCCACTGCCTTAGTCAATGTATCCAACCATCTAGTAGTCGGTCTCCCTCTTCGCCTGGTTCCTTCGATCTTCCCAAACATTATTTCCCTCTCCACTGATCTCTCTGAAGACCCGAACTGCGCGGCGCGGGAATGCGAGGGACAGCGAGACTTTTATGAGGGATGAATTACTATATGGTGGATGAACACATGAAATACTATAGTGAGGATAATTACTATATGAGGTAAGTGAATTAATATATCATGAGGGATGAATTTACATATTGATGGAGAATATACTATAGGGGGGGGGAAAAATACTATATATGATATACTCATGGAGGGATACTGACAGTGTGAGAAAAATATGACAGTGGCAATTTTATCATTTGGGCTTCTAGTGACATAGCCAGTTTGATATCTTCCACAATCGATCTAGTAGTTCTCGTTGTAGTACCTGTATTAAAATTCTCAAAATTACCAATCCCTTGGTAGGCAAGACAGTATTAATACATACATTTCACATTTTTAACTGATATTCAGCTTTAAATATCTCAGGCCTTCAAATTGCTGATCAGACAGATTTTGAATATGTGCAATTCCCCAGTGATAATTGACATAATTTTTAAAGAATGTACCTGTTTATTCTTTCAATCCCTTTTGATTAGATGGCAGATCATGTGCAAAGGTTATGCAATGGGAATGTGAAAAAAATATCCCAGTGTCAGCTATCCCGTTCTAACTCCAAACCTCACTGGATTCCAGGCAGCGGTAAGTTCTATATTTTTAGATTTGTTGAAGATGAGATGGCATATATATACTATACATTAGTCAGACTCATTTGATTTAAAGGAGAAGTGTGACCAAAGCCCTACTTCTCTTATGGATGTCACAGAGCTGGTCAAGGCTCTGAAAAGATCCTGACTATATGGCTAGGATCCACCTAGATGCCTGGACTGGCAGCTGGATCAGCCACTCAGTGAGCTGCTGAAAGCCTGAGCCAGCCGCTCCCACACTCTAAACAGCCCAGAACTCTAGTAGTTGCTGGAGGGGTAGAGCAGAGAGCTGGTGGCTGACAGTCACCAGCTCTCTGCTCACTGAAGGCCAAGAATTGAGTGATCAGCGGTCTTTGATCACTTAGTTCTCAGTCTTAGAAGAGGGGACAGATGCAACATTGGAGCGATACTGCATCCACCTAAGTTTATTCCCTTACTTTTCTTTAATATTTTTTTACTATTATCACTTATGTTTTGGACCAGGGTGGTGCTGTGGACATAGCATATCTTGATCTCAGTAAAGCATTTGGTTCAGTTCCTCAAAGAACATGCACAGAAGATGTACAAACAGGACTTAACCTTTGGGTGTTTCCGTGGATATGCAGTTGGTTAAATTATAGCTACCAGAGTGTGGTTGTAAAAGGGGTTTATTCAGAAAACAGACCAGTCACTATTGGTGTACCACAAGGCTCTGTACTAGGTCCTGCCCTATTTAATCTGTTCGTAAGTGACATAATTAATAAAGGGTTGGTGGGTAAGGTATGTCTGTTTGCTGACAACACAAAGGTGTACAATAGGATTGATAATCCCAGAGGTGTCTCTCAACATGTGACATGATTTTGCATTGCTGGAAGATTGATCAAGCAGAGGAAACTGTAGGTCATTGTTTCTATATGTAAAATAATGCACCTAGGGAAAAGATCCCACAATAGAGTACAACATTGGGGTACAGTGTTGGCCAGCACTATATAGGAAAAAGATGGAAGTACTTTTTTTTTGGGTGATTGCAAAATTAGCAAAAAGTGTGACTAGGTAGTGGGAAAAGCTAATAGAATTCTAGATGCATCACTAGAGGGGTCACCAGCAGGAGGAAGGTGGTCCTGATTCCCCTATATAGATCTGTAGTGAGACCTCATTTAGAATACTGTGTCCAGTTCTGGAGACCTCACTTACAGACAGATATTGATAAGATAGAACAAGTCCAGAGACAGGTAACAAAAATGGTGAAAGGTCTGGGGGATAAAACATATCAAGAGCGACTTCAGGAACTTAATATGTAAAGTCTGGAGGAAGAAAGGGAAAGGAGAGACATGATCCTGTTGTCTCCCCTTTATTTATGTAACTCCAGTCAGGTTACAGTAATACAGTAAATATGCCTCTGTTTTGCTTTTTTTAAAACCCTGTGACTCTCACACTCTCAGTTCTTCTGTGGTCTGACACGCCCCACTGAACAGTGCTGTAGCCAACATCGGTCCAGCTCCCTGTTGATCAGAGCAGCCTGACTGTCCTAGATCTGCCAACACAGGGATTTTTAATCCTTGCTACTGCACTTAACAGGTAAAATGATGTAAAAAGCGGCACTGATATTGATTAGAGCACTGTTCAATGGGGCATGTCAAACCACAAGAACGGTATTATCAAGGTGGACAGGGAAATGGCTCAGGTTAGGAAACTTGTCCTGATCATTCCTGCTCCCCAGATGTTGGCCTCACGTCCTCATCAGCTTGCCCTTGTACTCACAATTGCCCTTTTAGCTCTGCAGCCAGCTTAGAGTGCAGCTAAAACCTCTGGATTTACTATTGTAATGTAGTCAGGCATGATGTGTACTGTATGTTAGTGCTGGTTCACATATATGCAGATTGGATGGGGTTTGAACTGCATTCCAATCCACATGACATGTGAAATAACATTGCTTTCTATGGTGCCTGTTCACATATGTCCAGTGCAATGACTATGTGGATTCAGTGCGGTTTGAAAAAGAATCCTGTATGATTTATGAGCAGTGCAGTCAAGTTCACGTGTGCGATTACTGGCTATTGACTTCTATGAGAACTGTTTCTAAACAGCGCATGTGTGAACAGGATAAAATCCTGTCCTGAACCTTATGTAAACCTGACATGAACCGCTGAACAGCTACTGTATCAATTAGCTGTTAAACCTGAGCTTCAATCCGCACCACACATGTGAATCAGCTATATAGGATAATTTTGAGTCTTTCTGTTGTCAGGTTGAATGTGGTGCCAAAGAAGTGGCCATATTTGGAGCAGCTTCTGAACTCTTTAGTAAAAAGAATATTAACTGCACCATAGAAGAAAGTTTGCAGAGATTCCAAGCCGTGACTGATGCAGCAAAAGAAGCCAATATACCTGTGAGAGGGTAAGGACCCTTCTTTTTATGAAGAAAGCAATGTCACCTATTTTCAGTATTGCTTAATTCTATTTCACTGTGACCATGTGCAATGTATCTGTTGATACATTGAGATTTTCTTTCAGCTGCTAATGATATACTCTGCAGCTCACTTTCTAGGAATAACTTTATTAAAGGATGCTGTATTCAGTTGTCTCTTGGTCTAAGACCTCATTTACAATTGCAGCTCTGAACATTTAAACAAAAGACCTGCTGTGTGTTATATAAATGCATATACAGCAAAAATGCATTATTTATATATGTGGAGTGATCAAACAAGATGTATCGATGAAGATACACTAGAAATAAGAATATAGAAAACGCATGATCATGACATGCGTGGAAGTATCCAAATGTCCAAAATGTATGAGGATCAGGTACAACCTTCCAAAAGTTTATATAGAATCCAAATGCGTTTATGCGTATATATGATGTAATTGATGTACAGAGTGCGCACTTACCAGATGCGCTAATAAAAAGCGTGTTGTTATATAGTATCCCTGGTGTGAAGAGCTCCCTCGGGTATGGATGACGATACAGCCTAGGGGTGGGTGGTCCTCCTCAGGGTCCTGGGGTGCGTTAGTCTTTCCAGCCTGGGAATCAGACAAGTCCTGTCTGGAGAGCTGAAAGCACCTCTTCCAGTCAGTATCCCGGTACCTTAAAGAGGCTAAATATCTGGAAAGACTAACGCATCCCCAGGACCCTGAGGAGGACCACCCACCCCTAGGCTGTATGCGTTTATATAACACACAGCAGGTCTTTTGTTTAAATGTTCAGCGCTGCACCAATATTTATTTTTTGTTGTTTAGCGGCATTGTGGTTTACCTTTTAGTGTGTTCAGCTGCTTACTCTATCATTCAGATTTAGCGCTTGCTTTATTTTATCATTTTCATTTACAATTGCAGTTGTGAAGGAATGGGGGCAGAAAAACTGCGAAGGTAGCAGACAGGGGTGTACATATGTGGAAGCTAAAGATTAACCCCCTCATTTTGTGAAAGTGACCCATTCACTTGAATGAGGCAGTAACCCCCACCCACAACCAGGTGCAGACACTGAGGAGGCGATATAATGCCACCTGTCAAACACTCTCTGAAGAGCAATCCACCATGGAGGACACCACAACTGTAAACCAGCCTTTGCATGGCTGGGAATGGCAACTAATTCTGCTTGTAAAGCCGGTATTGTTTTTTTTAAATTTCCTGTTTGAGCTTTGTATTGTGTATCTGACAACAAGAGGGTATTTATTCCTATCCATTCTTTTACAGTGTTAAAATAAAATCATAGCCTTTAAATTAAATTGTCACTACATGTATGCTATTTTTGTTACTACTGTTTTTCTTAAATTATAAAACCAATCATTTTTTGACATTTGTATCTGGTGGGTTTGCAGGTATGTGTCTTGTGTTCTTGGGTGCCCATACGAGGGGAAAATATCGCCAAGTAAAGTGGCAGAGGTAAAATAATATATGATCCCTTTTCTAAAACACACTGTGCTTCTTATCTTCTGCACACAGCACAGATATAAATGAAATCTTTATTATATTTTCTTTTCTCTAGGTGGCACACAAGATGTTCTCTATGGGTTGCTATGAGATTTCTTTAGGGGACACAATTGGTGTGGGGACACCAGGCAGTATGAGAGATATGTTGACTGCTGTCCTAGATGTTATTCCATCTAAAGCCTTAGCTGTTCACTGCCACGACACATACGGACAGGCTCTGGCCAATATACTTGTAGCACTGCAGGTAACACTTTGCTTTTTACTTGTCTCTCTCACTTAATTCTCTTTTTAAAAGTAAAAGTTTAATCATGTCCTCTGGATACTGATTCTGAATGGGAGGGTCTGGTTCATTATAATCACCTGGTTCACTCAGTGTTTTAATGAAAAAGGCTGCAGGGTCTGCATCCCTAAAAGCCTGTTCACACTAAAACATGGTGCGGGAAAGGTGTGTTTCCTGCACTGCATGAGAATGCGCTGCACTTGTGTGGCTCATGCAGGTGCCAGTGACTTGTTAAAGGCACCTAAAATGCATCTCGCAAATGCAGCACGTTTGTGGCCACCAAATCACATGGTACAGCAGTACTGAAAAAGTAGTGCTTGCACTACTTGGCTTTCAAAACTGGACCACACGGGAACACGTGCCATCTGGTGGGAGCCAGCCCTTAGGAAGTATTGAAACCTTTGGGAGTGTTTCGCAAAAAATGGAAATTCCTGTTGCAGAGGATGCCTAAAATTTGACTTGTATCTTAGTGCAAACTTCTGGGAAAAATCAATGGGCCAATCGCAGAAGCAGTAAATTACATATTTGGGGGCTGTTCTGTACACCAACAGCTTGCGTAGCAATTGTATATGCTATATTTTTTTTTATTTGCTTTTTTTTTTTTTGCCCACAGAGGTGGAGTTACCCCTTAAGTTGTTAATAATATGGTTTTCCCATTTTTACATGACTGCTGTACAATTTGTTTGAGTATAGATTGGATTATGTATGCAGAATTGTAGATTCTGTTTTTAGGTACAAATAGGCATTAGGTTTCGTTGTTTTGATTTGCTGTTTTTGAAAAGACATAGTTACAATTTGATGTTTGTGAGGTCTACTGGCCAAAACTCATTAAAGGATAAGTTCATCTTTAAAAAAAATAATAAATTCACATTTTGTTTCCAGGTAAAAAATTGTGCATTTTATTTTTATTTTTTTAAGGAGCTTGTAAAGCATTAAACCCATGATCAGCAGATCGCGGGTACAATGCCAGGCTCCTGCAGATTGTCAGTAGAGCTGTCTGCCCCGATCTCCGATAGGAGCAGGCAGTTGCTGAAGGTCAGGAAGAATCCGTGAACTACCTAGAACACTCACCAGCACTCTCGTAGTTCATTGAGAACTACAAGCTGTCAGCCAAAGTGGCTGAGAGTAGTTGTAGTTCATTCATTCACAGAACTCTGAATGGATGACACTGCCATGTGGGTGAACTTAGTTAGTCCATTCTTGTTTAGAGAATCACAATCTAAGGTCCCTAACTCACATTCATACATACACATACTAGGGCCAATTTAGACCGGAGCCAGTTCACCTACCAGCATGTCTTGGGACTTGTAAGGGAATTCCCGTGAGACGGCTGGTGAATAGACATGCGCATGTGCACAGAAATGCACGATCACGCAAACGCACATGCACACACACGGTGAAGATTGGCGCCAGATGGACTATTTAAAAGGTGCCTCTGCCTGTGCTGAGTGCTGACTGGTCTTCAGCTGTTCCCCGTTTCCTGCTCGTTCCTGTGTGATTTCCTTGTTGCTGACCCGGCTTGTACCTGACCTGACTCTGATTGCTCTTCTGATTGATACTGGTTCCTGACTTCGGCTCTGCTCCTGACTTTGGCTTGTTTATGATTCGGTACCTCGCTGTCCGCCCGTTGATGACCCCGGCTATTCCTATGACATTGCTCCTGTCTCCCATCCCTGCTTCCTGCCTTGCTCTGGTGCACACCTGGCGATCTACCATACCAGCTCTGCATATCACTACTGATCCTGAATCGGAGGTTCCTCAGTCTTCCAAAGTCTCCAACTGCAAGAGCTGCAAACAACATCTGCTGGCGCTCTTGTCCCCCTGGTCTCTAGACACCCTCTGTTCCACTTCCAGTTGGGTCAGGGCTAGTGACACAAGTGAGGCCGACCTCCTCATTTTAGTCTCCCATCAGGTAAGTGACAGGAGTTTGGGAGGAAACTGGAGAACCCGGAGAAAACCAACGCAGGCACAGGGAGAACATGCAAACTCTAGGCAGGTGGTGCCGTGGCTGGGATTTGAACCAACGATCCTAGTATTGCCAGGCAGAAGCGCTAACCACTTAGCCACTGTGCTGCCCCAAGTAGCATAATGTACAGCGGCAGATCCTGGAACTTTCAAATGATGGGGAAATGTCTCCACACCATACATTGTATAAGGAAATATCTGCCTGTCTATGGCCACCTTAAAGTATAACTAATGACAAACCTTTTTTTTTTTGGATGGATGGATTCATTTGTTAATTGCTGATTGTGTCCCCATTAGGGATATTCACCCTTTCTATTTGTCCTGTATAATGTTAGCACAGAGAATGAAAGTGAAAAAATCCCACATTTTGGATTGTCACTGAAACAGGAATAGAGGGGAAACCTACAATTGGGGACACTAGATCTGGTGAACCTGGTGACAACCAGGGATTCCCGCGCACCTTGGGGGGAATTTCCCCTCACTTCCTTTTTGGCTATTGGACAGGAAGTAAAGGAAAATCTCTCCAGTGGGACACAGATGGGAAAAAAACTTACAGGGGTATAACTGTCCTTTACTCTATCAAAATTAAAACGTTTTGCCTTTGGTTCTACATTGGTTAAATTGTAAATACAGTGATTCCCTATTTGTTTAGCATTGATCATGTGTTGACACATGAGCTCTAACCCAGTCACAAACATGGGAGGAACTTGTGTAACACCATGGTTATTTGAGTTTAAAAATGCTTCCTAAGCTTAAAGAGTAACTCCACTTTTGTTGAGAAAAAACATTCTCTTCTGGGTGATCTATGTACATTGCAAGGATTTTAAAAAACTGTTGCAGAGACCTAGCTTTTGTTATTCCAAAGAAATGGCTGTTTTTTTTGTGTCCATATGCAGAACAAATTTGTATGGCAGTGACTTTACAATTATCAAACAACTGCTGAACCTGTAAGGCTCTAATGGGGAAAATTACATGGTCTGCATCCCTTTAGACTTGATTTCCCTTTGGGATTTTAGGCGTGATTTTCCCTTTGTCACAGGGGATTCTCAAAATCTAACTTGTATCTTAGTGTAGACTTCTGGGAAAATCAGTGCTCCAATCAGAATCAGAAAATTACATTTCTGCGGGTGTGTTCTGTGTACAGAATATCTCCAGGTAGCCATATTGCATTGCATTTTTAACCATTAGCCGCCCGGCCTATAGCCGTTTGGCATCAAAAGCGCTTTAGCTTTCCGGGTGCACGCCATTTGGCGTGCTCCCGCACTAGCGCAGTTCGCACGGTTGCAGATCCGCGCAGCCTGTCACCGGCCGTGTACCTCGGACACGGCCGTTGACAGATCTGAGTACCGGCTATCGTTGCCGCTACCATGTGACCTGCTGTGACCTATCACAGCAGGTCACATGACAGTTGTATACAATGGATGGCTTCATTCATGCCATCCATTGTATACTAGTGCCTAGCTGTGAATGGTCACAGCAGGTCACATGCACATGTCATGTGATTAGCTGTGGCCAAATCACAGCTAAGCACAAAAAAAAAAAAAAAAACCTGAATGAATCGATTTCATTCAGGTAAATGCTTGCTTATAGCAAAGTAATTCTTTGCTATAAGCAAATTGTGTAAAAAAAAAAAAAAAAAAAAAAAAAAAAACTTATCACTTCCCCAAAGTAGTACAATGTTACTATGGTAACATTGTACTACTTTGGTCATAGTAAAATATGAAAACAAAAACTTAATAAAAATTAAAAAAAGTAATAAAAAATTAAAATTAATTAAAAAAATATATATATATTTTATTTTTTCATACTGTCACCAGTCAGTGTCCCTGTTCACTGCCATGCCAGTTATATGATGACGCTGTACTGCACTGGTGACAGTATGTAAAAAAAAAATAGTGAAAATAATTTTTTAATTTTTTAATTTTCCGAAAAATTATGACAAAAAAATAAAACTTAAAAAACTTGCCATTCCTCTTATGAAGTACGTCCGACTGTCTACTCTGCAAAAAGGGGTCATTTGGGGGATATCTGTACTGTTCTGACATTCTTGGACCTCAAGAAATTAGATTGGCTGTCAGTACTTCAGGATTGATCAATTTTCAGATCTATACCATAGTTTGTGAACTCTATAACTTTCCTACAAACTAAATAATACATCCTAATTTGGGTTATTTTCACCAAAGACATGTAGCAGAATACATTTTGGCCTAAATTTATGAAGAACAATTATTTATTTGTAAACTTTTATAACAGAAACAAAGAAAAACGTGTTTTTTTTTCAAAATGTTTGGTCTTTTTTTGTTAATTTAGCAAAAAATAAAAACCCCAGCGGTGATTAAATACCACCAAAAGAAAGCTCTAGTTGTGTGAAGAAAATGATAAAATTTTAGTTTGGGTACAATGTTGTATGACCGCGCAATTGTCATTCAAAGTGTGAGAGCTCTGAAACCTGAAAACTGGCCTGGGCAGGAAGGTGTAAAATTGCCCGGTATTGAATTGGTTAAATTACCGCGCTGCAGATTAGAAAGGCAGTTTTTAATAAATATTCAGTTATAATATGAATTGTGTCACAATTGTAAACACCAGTCTTTTTTAACCAGGGTGCCTTGGCAAAATGCCTACAAAAATTGCCCAAAAATTGTTTACAAGCCAGCAAGTGGCTCAAGCCTGCCTTTTAGTTACACAAACCCACAGGTTTTCATTGTGCAGAATTTCAACCTTCTAGCCACAAACGTTCTCACAACCACTGACACCATTAGTTGATATAGAGAATGTCAGTCACCTGCATGGCATCCTTGTTTGACCCTCCCCTGCCCCTCTCTGTCAGTAAGGGGGTCAAATTAGTGATCGAGAGAAGCTGAGAGAGAAGCATTGAAATACTATTTAGTATCAATGTTCAAGTGTATTTGCTTCGGAACAATAAATCTCCTGGAACAGCTGGGGTCCTACATGTGTGGATGTTGCTGCATTAGGTAAAACTATTAGAATCGTTTTTGCACTTTAGAATAGAGTGCCTTGAGACTGTCCATAAGTTTTAAAGGGTCCCTCAAGATTGTTCATAACTTTAAGGGTGCCTTGACTAAACAATGTTGAGAAACACTGGTATAAACTATATTATTATTTTTTTTTATTTGCTATTTCTTTTTCCCACAAACGTTACCCGTTCAGCAGATTGAAACATAACTTTATAATATTCTATACATCATTCAGAATGTACAAAAGCTCTATGTGTAATCTTATAATCTTTTACATACCGTTGTTTTCGGGTTGTGCACTTTTGCGTGACAGCTTATTTTATTTTTTTATTTCAGGTACTTATATAGCGCCGTCAATTTACGCAGCGCTTTTACATATATATTGTACATTCACATCAGTCCCTAACCCTCAAGGGGCGTACAATCTAAGGTCCCTAACTTACATTCATACATACATACACATACTAGGGCCAATTTAGACAGGATCCAATTCACCTACCAGCATGTCTTTGGAGTGTGGGAGGAAACCAGAGTACCCGGAGGAAACCCACGCAGGCACAGGGAGCACATGCAAACTCCAGGCAGGTGGTGCCGTGGTTGGAATTTGAACCAATGACCCTAGTACTGCCAGGCAGAAGTGCTAACCATTTACCCACTGTGACAGCTGTATATGAAAATACCTTACAGTTCAACAATTTTTAAAAGACAATTCGATTGTAAGGTGCGATTGTATGTGGTCAGCCTAAGTCCACTAAAGGGTTGTTAGATATGATGTGCAGATTTTTTTTCTCATTATTCAGTTGAATATACATATGGCATTTCAAAACATAACATTATGGAATCATAATACTGTGCTGCTGAATAACATTTGGTTTGGCTTCTGGCATAATATCTAGATACACAGATGGTGTAACTTCCCACACACATACAAAGAATACATTTCTTCCTTACTTAAGGCCATAAGAAGAGATCTGATCAGAACATTTTGCTATGATTAAAGACTGTGTTCTTTTTTTCACATTTCTTCTATCGGTTTGAAAAAGATAGATTCTCTTAGTCCTGAGCAGTTTTTTGCATGTTTAAGGGGAACCTCTCTATACATCTCATTTTCAGTGACAAGTCCTTCATTACATGTTCTGATGTTTCATTCTGCTGTGCTATTCTGGTTATCTGACACTGTTGCTCTCTGTGTGACAGATGGGAATACATGTGGTGGATTCCTCGATTGCTGGCTTGGGAGGATGTCCTTATGCACAAGGAGCTTCAGGAAATGTGGCCACAGAAGATGTGGTTTACATGCTTCAGGGTCTTGGCATTCAAACGGTATGTATAAATAATCTTTATTTTGATGACCCTTTCATAATGAGCCATTATGTCCCTGCTGTCATGTTGTCTCCAAAATGTAACCATGCTTCAGAGAAAACTCTGGACAAGCGCAGTATACATTAATAGGTGTGCTGAAATAGCCTGTTCACATGTTGGCTTTTTTTTTCATTTGAATTCACTGCTTAACAAGTAAAGTACTATTCCATCCTGGACTTTTTCCTACACAAAACTCAAAATCCTTTCAGTGACACTGGTTTGTTGGTGGGAATTATGGCCAGGCATGGTAGAAACAGGGCCGCATTTGCCACTAAACCGTGGACAGTTAAGGTGATGGTGCCAGCTGTGGTTAGTTCCACACAGACCATGAATAGAGCTACTGTACTCCTGTAGGGCATAGGTCTGAGTCTTACTAAAAGCGATACTTTACCCATAGCAACTTGATAAAAAATAATGTTCTTTAGCAGTGAACATACGGTCCACACTAACAGTTATGCTACCAAAATTAGTGTGTGCTGTAGATTGCCTGTTTTCTGTTTCTTTTTGCTAGAGGCTGCCATTTTGCTGAAGCCCAGAACCCCTGAGCAGCAATAAATCTTTAGGCTGTCAACAAATTTTCAGGACAGTGCCGAAAAATAAAGAGCAACTGAGCATGTGCAGAGCAGGGTGAGCTGGTGTATTACTGGATTTTAAACAATACAGGTACTTATTTTTAATATTTTACTATACCTGCAAAAGGGACCATCATGAAATAATCTAGTAGGACTCAAACATCATTTACAAAATAAAAGATAAAATCATATGAAAATTAGGAGGCCTTTCATTCTTACCTGTTCCGCTACCAGTGTCACCAATTTTCACTATACTGCTGGATGAATAATCTTAGGCATTTAACTATGTCCTTTATGGCTGTGATGGTGAGTGGATGAAACCACAGCACTTCAAGGTGGACAAAGGCATCTGACGACCAGAAGAGTCAGATGCAGAAGTTTCTTGAGGCAGAAGTATCTTTTGAATACAGCAAATATTGGCAGCATGGGAAACAAGACGGGTGTACTAAAAGGTTCTTGTGTTTGTAGCTTTTTTCTTTATCTTGTGTAGGTGTTGAAAGGGTATCTTTAGAACCCTGATGCCCAACATGGGGCCCGAGGGCTACATGTGGCCCTTTGGTGTTTGAAGTGTGGCCTTGGGCCTGGCAGTCAGTACAGGTAGCATTGATTTGTAAAAAGTCCCTTAATTGTAGTAAAGTCTAGCGGTTTCATGCAACACTTCCCTAGTCTGTGACAGTCTGCTGTGGTACAACTTCAGTCTCCAACCATTAACCACTTGCCTACCAGGCACTTATACCCCCTTATTTACCAGGCCAATTTTCAGCTTTCAGCGCTGCCGCACTTTGATTGACAATTGCGCGGTCATGCAACATTGTACCCATATGAAATTTTGATCATTTTTTTCTCACAAATAGAGCTTTCTTTTGGTGGTATTTAATCACCATTTACTTTTTGCGCTATAAATACAAAAAGTGCAAAAAATTTGAAGAAAAAAAAAAGTTTCTTTGTTTCTATTATAAAATTTTTCAAACAGGTAATTTTTCTCCTTCACTGATGTGCGTTGATGAGGCAGCACTGATGGGCACTGATAGGCGGCACTGATGGGCACTGATAGGCAGCACTAAAGGGCACTGATAGGCAGCACTAATGAGGTGTCACGGATAGGCGGCACTAATATGCAGCACTGATAGGCGGCACTGATAGGTGACACTGATGATGGGTACTGATAGACGGCACTGACTGGCATCACTGCTGGGCACTGACTGGCGGCACTGACTGGCACAACCCCTGGGCACTGACTGGTGGCACTGACTGGCAGCACTGGTGGGTGGCACTGGTGGGTGGGCACAGGTGGGTGGCACTGCTGGGCACAGGTGGGTGGCACTTCTGGGCACAGGTGTTTGACTGCAGAGTGGCACAGGTGGGTGCACTGCTGGGCACAGGTGGGTGCACTGCTGGGCACAGGTGGGTGATCTGCTGGGCACAGGTGGGCGGAGCTAGTGGACGCACTGCTGAGCACAGGTGGGCGGAGCTTGCGGGTGGCACTGCTGGGCACCGATCATCAGGGCACTGATCATCAGTGCCCTGATGATCGGTGCCGATCCCCGCTCTGACAACTGCCGGTTCTCGGCAGTACTTTCCTCACGATCTGACAGCGTGAGGAAAGTGCAGCCAAGAACCGGCACTTGCATTTTCCTCTGATCAGCGTGTCATTGGACACCGCTGATCACGTGGTAAAAGGCCGCTGTGATTGGCCTTTTACCACATCACATGATCAGCTGTGTCCGTAGGACACAGCGATCACGGAGATCGCCGGGTGCGCACCCCCTGGGGCGCGCAGGAGAGCGCGTTCTGGGAGGACGTCATATGACGTCCACCCAGAACTGGCCGGCCGCAGTGCAGCCGTCATTTGGCTATCTGCGGTCGGCAGCTAGTTAAAGTAGAATGAGCTCTGACCATTTCCTCTTGTAAGTCTTCAGTCTATGATAATCTTCTGTAACATTACATTTAATGAAAAATAAAGTGTTACTAAACACAGGACCCTACATTCACTATATCTAATCTCCCACTGGACACAGATCATGGGAGTGCAATTATTTTAGTAAATATAAACTGCTAAATACCTTTTCTCATCTGCAATTAGAGCAGCCTTGTGACTTCTGTCAGTGTCCAGCACAGCACTGGTTACAGCTTAAATAACACACATATAAAAACACTGCCCAAAATTCGGTAATAGGAAATGGCATAAACTAAATGACCATTATGCATACATACAATAAATCAATAAAGTTCTTGGTGTGAAAATAATAAATTGGGGCATTGGCTTCTTCCACAAACAAGTTTGCAAAAGCATGTGCCTGCTACTCAATTTTCAAATAAAAATCCTTTCCTGTAATGTGTGCGGCAGGTATATGCACATTAAATAGAGATGTACTGTATGTCTTTTTGTTTTTTTGTTTTGTTTTAGACAAACATGAAAAAAGATACAAAGATCAGCTTGATGTAAAATAATCCTATCAAAATGCATTTATGTTTTAAAACTGTTTCTGTGTATAATTTGTAATTATAAATGTACATTGGGATTTGCTGTATCTGTTCATTAGATATGCAGGCTTTGCTTACTACATTGCAGTGCTATCAAACCTACTAATGGCCTCGTTCACATGGGTGTACTACAGCAAACACCTGAGTGAAGGCTGTGTTTTACCTGTATGGGGATGCACAAGTGTTCCATGCATCCCCACGGGTTTTCTTGGTAATAATTATGGCAGAATTAAAGTGTTACTAAACCCAGGACCCTGCATTCACTATTTCTGGTCTCCCACAATACACACAACATGGAAATACAGTTATTTTAGTAAATATAAACTGCTAAATACCTTTTCTCATCAGCAGTTATAGCAGTCTCGTGACTTCTATCAGTGTCCAGCAAAGCACTGGTTACAGCTTAAACAACACACATATAAAAGCGCCGCCCAAATACAAGAATAGGAAATGGCATAAACTAAATGACCATTATGCATAAATACAATAAATCAAAGTCCTTGGTGTGAAAGTAATAAAATTGGTGCATGAGCTTCTTCCACAAACAATAGGTGATTCGTAGTCTGTGCTCCCCACCTGTGTGCCCACTAACTCACCAGCTATATTGGACTCTTATAATGATACAAGAGTCATTCACGCATTGGTGGGGCATGTGGAGTTTTGCTGGGTCTTGTAGTCCTGGTTTAAATGATGCTTGTCATCCTCAATCATCCTGACATGGTAACATAATGTGCATACAAAGAATGGAGAAAGGCATCCAAATAGTGATTGTATCTGTTTATATGGCCTTAGTGAATATGACTGGACATTGGAAAAAATGTTCTTAAATGTACAGTATGTTTTAAGTTCACTTTTTGTAAAAAATAATTAATGCATCTTTTTATTTTTTTACATTGTAGCCTGTAAAGCATTGCAGCCACGATCAGCAGATCATGGGTGCAAGGCCAGGATCCCTCAGACTCACCGTAAGCTGTTTGCCTGTATCTCCCTTACAGTCAGACAGTTACTGAATGGCAGGAAACATTAATGAACTGCAAGAGCGTTGATACTACAAGCTGTCAGGCACACAGTACTTGTGGTCTATTCATTCACAGGAAACTGAATGACGCAGCCATGTGAGTAGAGCCCTTCACAGCCACGCTGTTTTTAAATTGGCAGAAGAACCCCGGCACATTGTAACAAAGAGGGAAGCGCTGGCGGGAGCTGGGTGCATAGGAGCAAGTTACAACCTAAATATGGGTGTAAAATGTAACATGCTCCTAAAGGTGCACTTATCCTTTAAACAGTACTTCAATCTGCCTTTATATGAACCTCCTCAGATGCCCAGTCAGGCTCTAATGACTCACTTTTACATGTGAAGAGACTTTGGAAATGCTTATTTTGCCTGCAGCAGGCCGATAATATTTTCTAAACCCTAGGCAATGTTATCTGTTTTGAGTTCTGTGAGCACCTTCTAATGATAAATGGTCCTTTTTTTTTTTAGACAAATGATACTATCCGGTCTGATGTGTCGCTCAGTGGGTGTGTGTGATTCGGGCAGAGACTGAGGGGGTGAGGTGGGGGGTTGAGAGGGGTTGGGCTCCGTTTCTGCCACCCCCCTCTGCCAATGCCTCCACTGGCTTCCGATTGCGCAACGGATCAAATTCAAAATCCTAACACTGACGTACAAAGCTGTCCACCATACTGCCCCGAACTACATCACTGACCTAATATCCAAGTACCACCCAACACACACACTCCGCTCCTCACAAGACCTCCTTCTCTCTAGTTCCCTGGTCTCCTCCTCCCATGCCCGCCTCCAGGGCTTCTCCAGGTTGTCACCCATCCTCTGGAACTCCCTGCCCCAACCCATCAGATTATCACCTACTCTCCTCTCCTTTAGGCGCACCCTGAAAACCCATCTCTTCAGGGAAGCCTACCCCACCCCCTGCTAACTTGCCGACCTCCTCCACTCTTCCTACCACTCCATCCCCCACAGCTATCTCCTCCTGTACCACTATCCCCTCCCTCCTAGATTGTAACCTGGAAAGA